AAAAGGTCAGACGCTTCAAAACGACACTGAATGCCCTAGAGTGAATAGAGTGGCTGTAATCATTTGGAGCGCCTGCCATTGTCTACGGGCCAAACACATTTGTAGAGGTGACATTGGACATCTACAGTGCATTACCATGGCCGCTGTGTGCTATGTGCCATTTTTCTGTACACTATGTACACTCTGTATGTTCACATTTCGTGGCAAGGAGGTGAAAATATTTTTCCTCTAACCATGTCTTCAATTTTAGAATCTTTATAGTTATTCATTACGTAAATTCAGCCATTAAGTGATGAGGATACAGATACACCATGTTTCCACAGGAGATTGTCGGCTCAGTGCTGCCAAGAGCTGCCGGCTAACACTTGAGGGTGAACTGTGGAGAGTGATAGCTGGCAACATTATTTCGCTGAGAAAATAAAGGCTTGCAGCTCTAAAGCAATAGTAAGTACTTTTAAAAAAGACTACAGCACACATGCTGTCTCAACAGCAAAATAGAAAGGGAGAAAATTCTGTGAAACTACATTCTGTGAAAAAATCAGTGTTTATACTTTCAAACAGTGTCTGGAAAAATACATTTGTGTGTGATTAGTGAAAGAATTTGACAAACATTTACAAATTAATGGAGGGACACTGATATGCACCCTTGTGCGAAAAAGAAATTCAAACTGTCTGTACTGGAATCGCATTGTATCATATTCATTCACATAGGGGTGAATCGTATTGCATTGGTAGTTGCTTCCAGTGATGGGAATAACAATGTTATAAATAACGGCTTTATAAATAACGGCGTTACTTTTTTCAGTAACGAGAAATCGAATTGATTATTCTTCCTATCTTAATAACGCCGTTACCGTTACTGCCAGAAAATGCGTCGCCTTACTATAATTGAAGCTGTTTTTTTCATCAGACCAACTAGATCTCTGAGCCGAGAGGCAATACTTTTTTTTACTGTTCTTCCTTGGTTAGTGGGCAGTGCACGAGACAAGCACATAAATGCTGACGATTGGCTGAGGTTGAGTAAAATTTCATGGTAAGCCAATCAGAGGTAGAGTTGGGCGGGTGTTTGAAAGCACGCATAGTCGGGACTAACAACAAACAACACAAGCGAGTCAGTCAACGAGAGACAGGTATGGCCAGTTGTGTTGTATCTTATTACATTTGCACTAAAAAGAGTGTATATATTGTTTGAATACATTTTTGGTACATGTAGATGTATTTTTTATTTCTTATGTATTACCTGTTTATATTTGGATTCCTCAGTTTTGCTATACATTGTACTTTTCAGTTAGATTGAAAGCACCTCACATTGTTACACTGTTCTACTTTTTCGAGGAAGAAAATACTTGAAGTACAGTATATCTACCAATTGTCTGAAGTTTTTTTTTTGCACTACAAAAAGTGTATATATTTGTTATTTATTTTTGGTATAGTGCTTAACAAGCATAATTGAATTTTGCCAAGTTGTGGCCTGTTGAGGGGCAATAAATATCAAAAGTTCCAAAACATCTATTGTGTTATTTGTATGGATCCACCATATAAACATAATATCTACATACATGGCATTTGATTGGAGGCTAGTCTCACTTTGTCAGCAACATTAAAATAGTTTAGATTTGTGTACATTGTTTCTGTTAATAATGGATTGTATTAAGTGTCCATTTCATTATAATATTCAGAGTTATCATAAATAATTGAACATGCACATGTATTTTAAGTTCCGTTAAAGAGGGGTGGAGGTGGGTACTTGAAAGTAACGCAATAGTTACATTCTAAAGTAACTAGTTACTTTTATAATTTGTAACTGAGTTACTAATTTAGTTACTTTTTGGAAGAAGTAACTAGTAACTGTAACTAATTACTTTTAAAAGGTAACAACACTGGTTGCTTCATATGTTAATGTATTGCATTGTTGGTGATGCATCGAAATGCATTGTTGTAACACGTTTTTAAGTAAAAACATCATGTAGACATTTTAAGTGACAATAACTTAGTTTCATTCATGATTAGGTACTTTTAATTTTGTTCTCACAGCACAAATAAAGATGACAAAATTAAGACAATGTTACTTAAAATCCCTAGTAAAACTTGCTTAATCAACCATGTTTTTAACTTCTAAGTTACTTAAACTTTTTGATGTAATCAGTTTCAACAATTTAAAATTCATCAGGCTTTACAGTGCTGCACACTTTATTCAACCTAGATAACTAAACCAAAATGATGAAATAAAAGTAATTATCTGTACAGTATTGGACTATATAAATACTATAAATAATAAACAGTATGGCAGCAACATGGCTCTAATCAAAAGGAGAAGCAGAAGGGAATATGTGTCGTACATTTATAGTACTGAGAAATTATGGCAGAGTGAGACCACTTACCCAAGGTCTGACAACCGACATTTTAGATCCTCTGTAGTATCGACGCAATTTGGTCTGTGCCATAAAAGTATCATCGTAAGTTCGGTACCTAGCCCTAGAGATAGCTATACTGGATTGTGGTTGGCAGGGTGTTGGATTTTAGGTTTAAGTTAAAGGGTAACTTTGGTCATTTTCAACCTCAACCCTGTTTTCCAATGTTTTTGTGTCTAAGTGACAATTGTTGAAATTGGCCCAGTATTTAGCCAGACCGCTGCAGGCGGGACCTAGCTCTTAAGTCACTGAGTTAGATGTCAGGCATCAGAGAGAGAGCACGTAAAACCAGAATATTTTTACATCTAACTCAAAAAGAAGAAGAAGAAGAACAATGACCTGCAGGTTACAGTGCTGAACATCAAGATTACACCACCAAAATCCACTGAGTTGTTTCTAATGACGTGCAGAAGGCTGGCCGATGAGTTATAGAGTATAATGTGAATTCACAAGGGTATTGAGAATGGATTGATGCATGGCTTCTTGAAATATTATCTTCTGACGGACAAATAATAATCTACACATGAGCAAAATGTCCTTATTGCACTCATAATCCAAAGCCTCTTCCTCTTGTCACACATGTGAGGAAACATAAGCTGGCATTTCAGAATTGGTTGGACTATAAAAGCATGTTTCAGAATATCTATGACATACGTTTCTGGTGAAATCCTCTTATAAAATCCAAACATATGGTCGGAGGGAGAGGAGGTATAATGGAACTGTATTTCTAAAATGAACAGTGAATTGCTTTCCTGTCAGAGCAGCTGCTATGTAAGCTGTATATCTCTGCGCTGCGGGCCCAGAGACGGCTACAGAAGTATTGTTGATGAAAAATGTAAATGCTAATTGAAGCCATCTACCTAACAATAGGCAAACACCATTCTCAGTGTTTTAACTGTTTAAACAATGATTTGGACACAAATGGACAATGTCAGAGTGGGTCCATAGCCATTACATGCTCAGGGACAACACAGTGTCCGTATAAATAAAAGCTAAGCCTGGCGTAGGTCACGCACACACTATTGATTATGATGTCAACATGTCACCTTGCTGGAAAGGCAATCCATTTAAATGCCTAAACAATATGTCCATAGTCACACAGTCATGGAGATCACAGTCTTACACACGCTTACGTATATATTTAAATCTAACATGTTTTGGACATGTCTGCTTCTAAAGAGCAAGTTAAAGTAACGCTATGTAACTTTTGTACCTTAAAATAACAGCTTCAGTCAATCAATGATCATTTTGATGCTACACTGACTTTGGTTTTCTGGGTCACACTAGGCGAACTGGCCTTTTTGCTGTTGGACCAGGCAGTATTGTTAGCTGGCCTGCTCTGTCTTGTGTTGTTGCACTTGCTTGATGTTTGGCTGTGTTAGCAAACTTGTCAACTCGCTATTTTTTGATACAATAAAATATGTAATCATAACACACATGTACAGCTGTACATATTTACCACAGCAGCATTTAATTGAATTGCACTCTTAAAGTGGAAGGCATCAAATCATAAAAAAATGCCAAATCTTATATATTGTTGCTTCAACACCCTGTTCAAACATGAAATTTAAAAAATACTTTCAAACATCCACTACTATCCCACCGCCACTCGCCACACTCAATATCTGTCAGTCTTTTCACAAATAACACAAGCGTTATGTATGTAACTATGCTTCTATGAATTCTGGATGACTGGCGTATTTAACCTAGATTTCCACCATCTGTCTTTCCACTCGCTCCACGTAGTTGATTTCTGTTTCCTTTGCAGGGGGATGTTGTCTTGTTTAGTGTGCTTTCATTAACATTAATATTTGCCATTTCATTACTTTGCATGTTCTTCATGTTTAATTGTTCTTTGCAGCCTTTTGGCCCAGTACCGGTGGGGAACCACTGTCTAGAAAATGTATTTACTCCATGTTATCTGATAAAAGGCAAATAACTGGCATTGTAAATAACACTGTAGAACTGGACCAGAATCAACTGAGAGTATAATAAAGTGTACGAACTCAAATAAGTTGAGTCAGTGTTTCTTTTCTGTAAGGACAGTATGAGGGGTTTCTAAATGCTCACAAATTTGAAAAGAATTATGTTATTAATTAAGAATTATTTCACGTTAAAATTCCCCCGGGAATGGCTTTATAACGTTGCATGTGGTTTGACGCCATCATCCACACATTCTTCTGCTTCTTTATGCTGTTTCTGTGTCTGACTTTCTGCCAGTGCGATCTGCTCTGTGCTGTGGGTCGTGTCACCTTTTAACACCATGGGCATGAATGCAGCATTTTTGGTGCTGGGTACCAGGTACCGACTTTATGCTAAGCTAAGCAGAAGCATACTAAGAGGTTTTTGTCCATAGACTAGCAATAGCCTTAAGTGTTGAAGATGTGTGGTGAATCCAGATGTGTGGTGAATTTGTTTATGTTTTTGAATTTGTTTAGGTAATAAAGAGTGGGACCGAACATTATAAATGTCTATATAAGCACGGAGAACAAGAACAATATTTTAATTATTATTTTAATTGTAATGAAAACCAGGACAATCCCAGACAAACAGTGACGTCTGGTGACCATATGTGAGTCTGGTTCCTACCTGGACCTCCACTCCATAGCCCATGTAGACTGTGATGATGTAGCTGCAGTCCATTGTGGAGTGAAAAGCAGAACTGGACTGTGGTGGAGCCTCTATGTACCCTTCTGGTCCAGTCAGGTTCAGCTGGCAGGGAACTGCAGGGACAAACAGCAACATGGAAATTATCTGGATGGAAGCAGTGAGAACATTTTACACTCATGTACTAAACTAAAGCTGCTCTCAGGCCAGCTGTAAGGCTGCTGATTTTTCCCTCATATCTGTATTTGTGGCAACAATGAAAGCCTCCCAAAACAGCACTGAGCACTTTCAACAGTTAGTTTCTTTAAACCATGAACATGAACATGACCTTTCCCTAATCCTAACAAGATGATTTTAGTTCTTGTAATGGTCATTTTGGAAGGCAGTGACAAACATGTTATTTTCTTGTTTAAGCTTGTTGGGCTATTCTCAGGCCAAAATGTCAACGTTGTACATAAAGGGGCTGATCCAAATTATGGCTCAGATTGTGCCTGATTGTGATTCAGGGACCTGTGGTGTACCACCCTAATCTCAACACTGCTGGTTTTCCTTTTTGTAGTCTGTGATAGTTCTTCGTTCAGACGACAAACCGCTCTCCGGGGTGCATACCTAGATTACCTATACTCCTCAAAATCCCTTGAGTTGTAAGGGTTAGTCCATGCTTTTAGTTTGGTACTTGACTGTTGTTTCTTTAGTCTCCTAATCCTAGCCATGGGTATTCCCTAATGTTGATTTATCTCTTGTCCACCAACAATCTGGTGTGCAAAAGTTTCCTATAATATTGTGTGATACTGATCAGTTGGGAGGTGCACAAGTTGGGAAAAAGACTAAAGTAAATGACAAAAGAAAACAAGAAAAAGGCAAAGTTGGGGAGGGTTAGGGTTAGGGTTTCAACACAGTAGCTGTTGTCAGTGCCATCTTCTTGTTAGTTCAGTCTTCTCATTAGCGTTACTTATAATGTAAGAAGGCAATCTATCTACTCAGTTTTGTATTGATTTTTTTCTCATCCGGACTGACAGTCTAAGGACGCGTACCGCAATTTTGTGCTATACAAATAAAACTAAACTTCAGTAGTCTGTTGCTTATGTGACCCATCTTGCAGTGGTAGTGAATTATTCATCACCAAACTCACTTCCTTGTTTCTACCCAGTGGCGGACTGGCCATTGGGAGCACCGGGACATTTCCTGGTGGCCTGGCCGCCGAACTGGCCCTCTCGGCATTTCCCGATGGTTGGGACCAAAGGCTCGGTTCGGGTCGCGCTTGATTTTTAAATAAACAATCCGTCATGCGGCTCATTAGGGTATCTGCCTCACTGAAGCTCACACACACTGAGCAGCAACGTTGGGCACAAACACACCACCTCCACTCTTTTTCTGAGGCTCTCTGTCATAGCACTGCAGACACACACACACACACACACACACACACACACACACACACACACACACACACACACACACCAAGTTGCGCTCCCCTCCTCCCTCACCTGTTGTTCTACATGCTTGAAAAATGGAGCGAGATCGACAGACCAAGAGGAAAGGTGGAGCAGAGAGGGAGAGGCTTAAAAAGCTACAGATCAGCGAAGTGCTGTAAAATAACTGACATGTTTGTCAGTGAGGGAGCAGGTCAGACATTAAACACTAGTGGAGACAACAGACACACAACCAGAGCCTATCCAGCACCACCAGCTTCATGAGGAGGTTAGTTCCACTTTGACTAACACAAAGTGACTTAATAAAACAAATGTTTTAAGTTGTAACAATGGATATTGCAAATTTTAGAATATGGTCAACTAACATAGACACAACATAATAAATTATTGAATTAATATGAATATTGAAATCCTTGTATTATATTATTTCATTTAACCTTTATTTAACCAGGTAAAATCCCATTGAGATTAAGAACATATTTATTGTTATATGAACATAGCCAATGCATATAAAAATTGTCAATTAGTGAATTTGAATAGCTGTGAAATTATGGGTGGCTTTTGGATTTTTCTTTACAAAGGTGGAGAAGGGAGCAGTGTCAGCACGGTCAGGAGCACTAGTGCTGCAAGAGCTCCTGCTGTCATGGCAGTGGTGGACAGCAGCAGTGAAGAGTCAGAGCAGGAACCTTCAGGTACAATTTAAGTGTGTGGACGCATGTGGAGCCTTTGCTTTACTATTTTACACTATTACATCAGTAGGCGCCCAACCTAACTCACTCTTGGTGTTTTGCGTTAATCGGGTGGTGGTGGCCTGGGATGGTATCAAATTCCCAGCCTGAATTATTGTCCCAGTCATGAAGATGCAGACATGATGCAAATATCTCACATCTACCTGCCATATTTTTTTTCACTGGAACAAGTTGCCTTCACCATACGCTTAAACCGGTGATTCAGTTTTTTTAACCTCACAACCGCCACAAAATTATTTGTTTCACCATCAGAATTTGATCCATTCAGTCTGATAACATTTGGCAAAAAAAAAAAAGTTGCACACTGCAGTATACAGACAGAAAGTGACATGTTTGACGTCATGCACTACTAGGCGACGAGACCCTCCCTTAATACATCCATGGTTTACAGAGACAGCTTGAGACAGCAGTAAAAGGATGATTGATGTGCAAAAAATACAAACACCCCTAACTAGTGGCAGTGTTTGGTTTGTTCCTTCTGGGCTACTGTAGAAACCAGGCAGTTCAACATGGCGGACTCTATGGTGACCATAGAGTCATGGCATCTATAGATAAAAACGGCTCATTCTAACAAAACCATAATGCTTCCTATATTCAGGTGGTTATACACTAATGAAAAAATGAATATTAATGAAACACACTGGACCTTCAACATGAGTTGTCCCTGATCCAGATATCCTGATATATCCAGGTATTAGCCTTGTGTAGGAAAAACCAAGGTGAGCAAACCAGTATACATCAGTGTAACTCTATTGCACATATTGTACAAGTAGGGAAATTGCTATAAACACACAGACACTCTGTCTGACTTTACTTGAAGGTTTTCTGCCTCTCTGGCTGCCTTTCTGAGCAGCTCAGCCCTGCGATGGGACAACTGAGGACAGAATATTTCCTAGTGGCCTTCAGGGGTTTCTGCTCCACCACCTTCATCCCTCCCTCTCTCTGAGCTAAAAAGTAAACTTTTGCTGAAGTGCTTCCTTATGAAGAAGAACATCCTCCCTATGTCCCCTCAGCACTCCACCTCAGGGAGTGTCCGCTCCGGCATTATTACTGCACTACAGTGTTGTCATTCACCCTGAGCCTGCATGTCTGTGTTACAGTGGGATTTTGTGTACAGTATTGCCTGTCTGTGCTTTGACCTGCTGTCACCCTGCACACAGATGAGCTGATTAATCAAGGTGCTCCCATTGTGCTCCCCCTGACCTGCAAAGTCCTCTCTGATATTTATTTTCCCCATCCAATCTCATAACCGACAATCTCAGAGTGCTGTGGTCCCTGTTTGGACCTCTTGATTAAGGGTTAGTGATGCACTGATGCTGTTGTAATTTATTCCAGCCCCATGGCTGTGTGATCGTGAGAGATGCAGATAGAGAAGATATTAGTTGAGGGGTTGAAGATAACGCGGGTGCACTCAGAAGAGAAAACACATCCTCACAAGAGAGAGCACTGTGGTTGACGTTAGAAAGATGTTAAGATGCATGTCTTTTTTAATAATAATTGATCAAATATTTAAAGGATTCAATTTATTTTAAAGTTTCAAATAAAGGATTAAAGTAATTAAAGATTTCCAAATTTGTTTTGTTGCTTAGAATAAAAAATGCATAATTTTCCTTTTGTTTTGTTTTGATATTACAAACAAATTACCTAATATGTGTGCAGTCACATGTATTTGCCCATCTCATGAGAAAAAGGGCAAATTGATCCGCCTTGTTTTTCTCACCAACTTTACATAGAAATGACCCAGTCGAGGTACAATGAGATTCCCAAATATTTTTAGAAGTCTAGAAGGCCAACACACACTGACATTTTGAACTGTCCCGTATGAAAATTGGCAGCTGTGAGAGAAAAGTGGTGAAATCTTTAGTCATCAATCAAAAACAGTGACTCTAGATTACACAGTGATACCACAGTGTCCACCCACCGCCCATTTAGAGCTTTGGAAGACAAAGACAGCTTGAAATGACACAAATTTAGGTCTAAATGTCCACTAACCAACTCAATACAACATTAGCTTATATGCATAATGGCCAGCTTAATAAAATCAGCATAATGCATCAATTTATTTTATCAAGACAAGGGCAAAGATAGAGAAAATGTTGAAACCAAGTGGCAAACAGCAGCTAAGTAAAGGGGCACTCCACTGACTGTACACATGTAATTCTCAACAGAATGCCTACGTTATAAACAGAGGAGTGGAGGTTGGGAGACGTGGGCATTAACAGGACATTCTTATATTCAGGTGATTATACACTAATGATTGCACATGTACCCGGTGATGTGTACATACAGTATGTTAATCTTATGTTGAAGTGATGTGTTGATGCAGCATAGAAAGCCCCATGAATTTACATTACTTTAGAACATGTTGCTTGTTTGTATTGTCGTTAATATGTTTTTGCATAATTTGACTACAATTGGCTACATTCAGAAATTAACACGAATTAGTATAATAGTTTATAAGAGTTATTTTCTGTTTTATGTTGAAATAAATGTCTCTTGTTTACCTCAACTTCTTTTTTGTGTCCAGTTATCCTTTCCCTGAGCAGTGTATCTAGTCTTTGTGTTTCCTTGTTTGATGTCTTTCATTCTAGTTGCTTTGTTGGTTCCAAGCCATGCCTTCCTCTGTCATCCTGACACCTGAACCTGAACCTACTGGAATCTGTGGCTGCCTACCTCTGTAACTTGCCACTAAGCTCATTAAATTCCTGAACTGTTCCTGTCTGCATTTGAGTGCAATCCTGCATTTCCTGAACTGTGACAGTTAATGAAGATATTTTTCATATTGGAATTAATCACTCCAATAAAATCAACTGACTCCAGTCACAACACATCACTACTAGCTCTCCTTTCCATCCACACACATACCTGCTTGCACACAACGCTCTGTTAAATACATAATATTTTCCCCTATAATTATTTATGGCATAAAAGGCATTATAGGACTGTGTTCTTACCTGGACTCTGCATTGTGGTAATGATGGTGGTGGTGGTGGTGATGGTGGTAGTGGTTGTCTCCTCTTCATCGGTGCCAGGCCTCACATTCTGCTTCAGTCCAGAATGATCTGGCCTCACAGCATCCTTCTCCCTTGCCGCAGTGGCAGCAGAGGGGGCGATGGTGGCATCTTCCGGATCTTTTAAAACCGTGCTGGTGACTGGAACAGGGGTGCTGGGGTAAGAAGCGACGGCTAATGCAACGGTTGTTGGCACGTTTGGGCTTTCAGCGCTCTCATCGTTGTCCAGCGGAGGCCCGGATGGCAACGTAGAGAAGGTGGTCTGGGAGCTGCGGTGTGTGCTGGATCCCCTGCTGTCTTCGGAGTAGTTCGGCTGACGACGAAGGCCGAGCGGGGCCTGGTGTTGTGGGGGGTTCCTGTACAGGGGGTGGTGGTTCGGGACGTTGACAGGCGGGGCGGTGGTGACCACGGGGAGCCTGCCGCCTGTGGCCTGGGTGGTGGGGTACAGGCTGGCCCCGCTCTCCGGAGGGCCCCCCGGAGTGATAGAGAGACCTTCCTCAGAGGCTGTGGAGAATGAAAGAGAATAGCAGATGTGGTTGGATGCGGTTGGATGTGGGATGTTGGATGCATGTGCTGAGGTTTCTGGCTTCACTTTCCAGCTTCCTGCCTGCTCTGGCTCCAAACCTCTCCATCCACAGCCATTTAACACACTGCCAGTCACATTTTATATCGGTTAATGATGGAGAATGGTGCTACAGCAAGCAACCAGCCGGTGTCATAACACAGCTCTGCAACAAAGGCCAAGAAGCCTTCAAGCCAAAAGACATCCATTTAAACACGATTAACATGCTGACCTGCAACCAAACAGGATTCGGTTTCCTGTACCTATTTACTTTTTGACTAAGGGCAATAATAATAATTAAGAAATTATAAAGATAATAGTGGCATGTGAAAAAAAAAGAAAATTGAGGATTTTGGATCACACACTCAATGTAATAATGTCACATGGGGGTTGTATTGGGGCCCCAGTGGGAGGCAGACAAAAGTGGCTGGCTATGCATTTGTTGTTTTCTGTTGTTGTGTTTTTTTAAACATATAGAAATGAATATACATTGATTTGATCTTAAATTGATTTAGGCCCTATAAAAATTTCAATTCATGTAACCTAATGTAAAATATCAGACAGTACACATTAATCCCAAGCATATTGTGCATATGAGGTAATGGCAGGACGAGGTGGGGGCAGCAATTAAATCGAAGGGTCATCCCTGGCACACCTTTTGTGGCGTCCCTGTGAAAAAGTACAATGTAAATAATTCATGATTCTTTATTGTGTTTTTATCATTCATGACTTTAATATATAAAGCTGTTACAGGTTACAATTATACTAGCCTATTTTTATCATTAAATATTGGTCATTCAATAAACCAACCTTCAAAGAGCATGTCTGTCATGTCCTTCTTTTGATAAAGAAGGGCCCCGGAACCCATTCTCCCACTGTGCATTACGTATGGACGTCTCCTATTGCCTTTGCGTAGCTGTCAGATGCAGACCACACAGCAGGCTACACTGCATGAAAACATACACATATACAAAATGTGCCTTTAGCTCCTTTACTAGAAAACTGCTAGGTCCCTCTGTATGTCATGAAGTTTGTGGTGATCTCATTAAGCACATTAACCATCCCCGAACAGAAAAGGAATTTAAAATGTGCCACACAGTGAACTATTCTAAAATTGGACGTTTTTGCAGCAGTGGGGAGCAGATTAATTTGACTTTCCATGCAACAACTCATAATATTGCATTATGATGTGGTGGAATTCTGCTATTATTTTTTATTATTTTACTGATTTAGTGTTGAATTCAGCAGTTGCTGTTGAGACTGACTGCACATTTCTATTTGATGCTGTGCACGCATGTACATTATGTGCTGCCCAAAAACCCTGTTTCTTTACTCAAAAGGAGACCATGGAATTTCAAACAGCAGCTTTCCAATACCATGTCACTGATTTATCTGTCTCAAAATGTACGTTTTATTTCACAGAGCCGCAGTGAGTTCTGACAGCAGAAAGTATAACTTCATAGCCAGAAAATAAATCTGAAATTCAGTCACCCCTCTTTATCTCTGACTGTTCAGTGCTCTGCTTCACTGTACTTCACTCTGACATCAAGGCAGAGAAAGAACCTGCCTCGTGCCTCTGGATGGAGACGGGAACATTCACTCAACCAGCAGCTCTGCACTCCCCCGAGCAAACTTATTCCATCTTTCAAAGCTGAATTTTAGCCATATTTCCTCTCAACACTGCTTTATGTGGAGCAGTGCATTAGTGCCATTACACCACTGTGAGTCAATTGGCAGACTGAAAACTTCTTGTAAAACGCAGAGCAGTACAACCCAAACAATCCTCGTAAATTGTTCACATCATTGGCTTCTCCCCTCCCTATCCTCCTCGTAATAAGACTTAATATTCATTCCTGAGGAGATTTGATGAGCCGCTATAATTCTCCCAGTGTAATGATCAGCACTCCCCTCCCAAGTGCACCTGTGAGATCTAATCTGAGACCCCTTCAGGAGGCTATCATCCACTGAGGGAAGTCTTATGTTTCTTTAACAATGCTTCATTTCCACCATAATAGCTCCCGCTCTCTGCCGGCTAATAGCTATCTGCTTCAAACAATCAGGGTTTATTGTAGCTGTGCCACTTCTCACCCAGCACCTCGCCTCTCAAACACACACAGCTACATCAGACACACACACTCATACACAGACAGGCGGGTAAATCTACAAGGAAAATAATGAATGAGGCAGAATTCCAATCTGACTGACTGGGCGTGTGTGACAGGTAATGCACACACTCTGGGTGAGCAGTGTGTTTTGTCAGTTCCTTTGGCTCAAAGTAAATGAGATGTGTGTATGAAACATGACACACAGGAGGAGTCAGCTTTGAATGTGTACATCCACGGTGAAGGTTTGGTCTCAAAAACATACTGAAGTCAGGGGTTCCTCAGCCAGCCAACAGATTTCTTTGCATTTGCACACTTTTAAGAGAAGAAAGAAAAATGCTGGCATTGCTTTTATAATATGTCAAGAAAAAATACTGAAACAATGCCAAATGTTATGTCCAGCTCCTCAAATGAGAGGATTTGTTCCATTTCTTGATGTAAATTTAATATTTCTGAGCTTTGACAGCGGTTTAGATAAAAAAAATTAATTTCAAGATGTCACCCCATTTTTGAGAGTGAATCTGGTGAAAATATTCGTCAGCTGCAGCAAAACTCCAAAAACTTACAAAAATTTTGACTGAAATATATTTCTACCAACCAAGAACTGTCACAGTATGGTTGTTCTTTGCTGCCTTTTGACTCAGTGTCTTTTTTAGCAGAATATTAAAGGCGAGATCAACTAGAATGGTCAAAATGAATGAAACTGACGCTGCAGTAGCTTGACTTTTAGTCCCTGTGTGTCAAACTTTCAAAACTGCTGGATTCTACAGTTTATATAATGAAGCTTGATAACACAGTACTATACTGTGAAATAAATGTTGAAACTGATTACATCGAAAGTAAAACTAATGCAACTTTGTAAATAAGAAAACATTCTTGATCATGTAGCTTTAGTAATTTGAAGTGACACTGGCTTAATTTTATAATTTTTATTTGTACTGTGAAAACAAAATACCTAGTAAGAAATGTTTTATCAAGAATGTTTATTAACTTAGAAAACTGAGTTTGTGTTTCTTATTACTTATTACAGTGTAGTGCAGTATTTTTATACACTCTGCATGGTAGAGCATTGAGAAGTCGTCCTTGTCTCCTTCTTGTCTTTCAGTTCCTCCTCATTAATATGCACAGTGATGCATCAAGGTGTTCCAATATCTAATCAGATCATCTTACACCTGTAGTGTTCTATTGCATATTGTTGACTTAATGCTCATGAGGATGTGCCTGACACACACACACACACACACACACACACACACACACACACACACACACACACACACACACAATGCCATCTGAATGCTGTAACATTACACATACCACAGTGAAAGGTCAATAAAACAATGACAATATGTATCACACCAACATGCAAGAGTGTGAAACATGCTCCATTATCGTTTATTGAATTATGTGGAGCGGATGGTAGGAGTAGCATGAAGGTGATATAGAGCCATAGAAAGCGTGTGACTTTAATTAAATTGTCAGCTGATGTTGGCTTCTTTAAACCAAGACCACAGGCTTTCCTTGACCTTAACCAAATAGTTTTTGTTCCTAAACCTAATCAAATCCGAGCTGTGGCAGATCAGAACACCATTATTATTGATTATTTGGGGGTTTTGGGGGGCGATTTGTAAAGACACTGACAAACTATGTTGTTTTAGATGTTTTACCAATTCTACTGTGATCAGCAGTAATAGTGTAATAGGAAGATTGCATGACTTCTGAAGGAAACCACGTATAAGTAGTTATTTATAAAACCTTACTTTGATGTGGAAATAGTCATATTTCTAAGTAAAGTCTGACGTAAGTGATAGTCCTGCTGGTCATGTAGTGGTATTGCAGCCTGTGGTGAACTGTGCATTAGCTTTATGAACAATGTGAGAGGAATCATGGGCACCAAAGTGGGGGTGGAAGTTTATTAGTTTGTTATGTTTCATTTTGTTTTGTACCTTCAGATAATTATTTTGTTTTGTACCTTCAGATAATTAGTCTGATCAGCCAGCATCAGCAATCAATACACACATGTTATTCAATTCAATTCAATTCAATTTTATTTGTATAGCGCCAATTCATAACAGAAGTTATCTCAGGACACTTTCCAAATAGAGCAGGTCTAGACCAAACTCCTTATAACAATATTCAAGCATTCATCAAACCAATAACTAACAGCAGTCAATGTCAGACAACCTTAAAAAACACAAGAATGTTAAAAAAAAATACACTTAGCAGTTTGAAGACCTTTAAAAAATATGACATTTTAACAATTCCAATAAAGTGTTCATAAATAGGCTACACATAACTAACTAATAAACTGTATTCTGTACAAACTTTACATTTTGTCGCCTCAACCGGCTCTCAACCTCTGTGGTTAGCTGAACTAAGTGAGAGAAGACCGTGGGAATGAAAGGTGAACGTTTAAAAAAATAAGATGAATCATTAAAATGCAAGTTGGTGGATCAGGTAAACCATCAACTTTAAGTTCATTTGAGATCTATAGATCAGGGACACGCATTTACAAATGGGCTTCTTAGCCTGTATCTTTATTAATTGAACCTAAGCATACTGTGAAAAATTATCTTAAGACTACATTTAAGTGTAAATCTAAGAACATTTTTTATAAAGGAGGCCCTTGCACTTTATATGCTCAACACCCTGCAACGGTAGTGCAGTTTATTCACTCAAAGTTGACCCATGAACATAATCCAAGCAAGCGACTGCCACCACAACATACCCATCTCTGCACAGTGAGGTAATGAAGTGAAACTGATATTTACGTGGTATCAAACACCAGGGTCAGAGAACCTCTGCATTAGAATTATTAAAACAATCCTTAATGCCAATGA